GTCTCAAATTAAACCTTACGCATGCCTCTACAACTTTCATTTAAAACACAGAAGCATTTAAGATCATTTTGATAGGGTAAAATCAGTTCACATTTCATATCAGATTTCTGCCAAAGTGATAAATCATAACTCATGCATATCTAACTTCATACGAGCACAACTCAAGCTACAGAGCACGTATCGATATGAAATTTATGTCATTTGAAAGGCAAGAAATAGATCTATAACTTTCATGAAGAGTATAAGTTTGTACGAGCATATTACGACATGATAAACAGGTCACACATTAATTATAGATATGCTGCCGGGTAGCAGGAAAACTGAACGCGCAACATTTTTCTAAAAATCACAACTTATTCGATATAACTCGGAATCAAGAAATTCCAAAACCCACGTTTAGAAAACTGAACATAATACATTTCATGTGAAGACCACATTTTCAAATAACCATTATCATATAGCTAAAAACGCGGCACAACAGATCGGCGAAAAACGTATTTTCACATAAAATACCAACGAATACAAACAGATGGTTCGAAACTCGACAACGATCAATATACTTTCTCGACAGCAAATAAACGAGCACATTGAGGTTCAATACAACAAAAACATGATATTTAGTTTAACGAGGTCATAAGCATAACTCGATAAACGCAACGACATATACGAGTCGGTAAGGCATTCGAAATAAATCCGACTTCAAACAAGAATTCGGTAACACGTATGATATATATATATATATACATACTAATACGACCGGAATAACGAGAGGGTTCGAATGAGTTACCCACTTTCGAAAATTAACGAGCTAACGGAGAAAAAACGGGCCGGACGACGGCTCGGCCGAACGGGACGGAAGTCGGCTCGCGAACGAGACTCGGAGTAACGAAAAAGGGACCGAAAGTGGCCGCATGCTAGCTTCATGCCGGCAGCAGCTCGCCGGAAGAGGTTGCCGGAAAATGGGAAGCCGAGGAGCTGCTCAAACGGAGGTTGGGGCTGCTGAGACGGGCTCGTCGGAAATGGCCTGCTCGAACGGAGATGATGGCGACGATGATGATGCTGATGATAGTGACGGACGTTATGCTCGCGGCGGCAGGGATCGCCGGGAAGGTGGTCGCCGGACTGAACGACAAGGATGATGAAAGAGGACGATGGTGATGGTAGCGATGATGGTGAGGACGAGATAAAAAAAAAATGCTGAGGGATGATAATGATAACAGGATGAGGATGATGGGATCGGTTTTAAGAAGAAAAAACCATGTGATGATGGAGGGATTTGTGCTAGATCGGATCAAGATGCTAATTCATGTGAGGCTAGAGGAAATCTCAGATCAAAAGCATATGGATGGAAGCTTCACGTGAAATAACTGTAGATACATATATGTGTATGTAATGAGATGAAGAAGATGATATATTTTAATATATCATGAATGTAAGTTTGACTTTTTCTTTACTTACAAGAACAAATACACGCACACACACACACTCACATATTATTGAACCGGGAGTTTTGTTTACGCGGGTATAATCGGGCTCGATTAATCGCACGATAAATAAATAAAATCCGAGAAATATTTATTTAATATATACATTATTTTAAAATAATAATATTAATAATAATAATCTCAATTAATTCGTAAACAACGGGTTTACGAATCGGCTGGTTTCGACTACTGATTGGTCGGGCTCAATCTCATAAACTCCGAATAATCATAATGCTCGGAAAAATAAAAAATGATGACTCGTAAATCTTTTAAATTCACAAAACCGACATAATATATATTTATTAGCATACACTAATAAATACATCATCAAGTAATTATTTCTCTCTGGCAGTTTAATAATAATACTGTTTGACCCGATATTAAAATTAATAAAATTAACAATTATGAGCACAAAATCGAAATAGAATTATCGAGCTCGAATAAATAATTTTGGAATAAAATAAAATAAAATAATAATAAAAATCTCCAGGTAATTCCGGAACAAATGGGGCGCTACAGGCAGCCACTTTACATACGCATGGTATTTATTTATTTGCGAGGAGGATTATTCAAGCCCTTATTCATGCAGCCAGAAAGACGCAGCAACAGAGGAAAAAAGACAGAGCCGCATTCACGCAAAGAAAAGTCACGCAGAGCAGAACAGAGGAAGGAAAAAGCAGACAGAAAACGAGAACCCGACTAATAGCGGAGGGAAGCCGCACTCGCATACGAAAGGGGATATTCTTATTTTCTTTCTTTTATTTTTATTTATTATATTAGGGTAGTTTTTATTTCTAGTTCCGGGAAAGTCGAACCCTACGATTGACTATGTTTTGATTGATTATATGGTTGATGATTTTAATATCTTATTGGAATTGCTTGTGTTATTTTGAATAATTCATCATGATGTGTTAGTCTTGTTTAGGTTGATCACCTAGATTAGGCTTTTCATATCTACATCTGAATTAAACCTGCAATCCGTAATTGTTGTTGTGTTTAATTCATAAGAGGTAACCGGAAGATGGTAACTACCGGAGATAACACGGCCTAATTAAGTGGACGAACGCGGTTGAGTTAACTAATTAGTCTAGCCTATTTTTCTAATTCGTAAAGCGGCTAATTGTATTAAATCTTGAAAACATTTTTTCCGGACTGTACAAGAAGTCATGTTTAATCGTCGAGCGTCTCGCGGTTAAATTAAAAATAAGGAAAAATTCGGGTAACAGACCGTGTTGTTGCCTAGGGCTAGTAATTCCATGAGATAGCGAGATTTGATTCTAAAGTTGATTATACGAGTCAGTCGAGGGTGTAGACGGAACCATGAACTAGAAAGTTCTCTTCATTTATTTATTTACTTTTATTTTTATTTTTATTTTATTTTTCAGATTTTATTTTTTTCATTAGAATTTTAGGTAGTTTAGTTATTAAATTCAAACCCTCATTTATCGCTTTTTATAGCATTCAATTAATACGAGAAATTCACAATTTGATTCACACTCCTCGTGGGATCGACCATTACTTGCCGCTACTACTAGTTAGTAGAGGTTAGCTGAGGAAAATATAAATTATAATTTTACCGCGTTGCGACGCGCGGTCAAGGGGAATTCCTTATACTTGGCAATAGGAAGCCTAGTATATGCAATGCAGTAAATGAGGCCTGATATCAATTATTTCAATGGGTATAATTCATAGATATCGAAGTAATCCAAGATTGGCGCATTGGTTCATGATAGAACATATGATCAAGCGACCATAACTGGGCTAAGGATAATATGTAGGTTTACCAAATGAACCATATGCAACCTATTGATTACAAAGACTTCTAATTTCTGATCAGACGTGAACAACAAGTAGAACCTACCAAAGGGTTTTATGTTCACTTGTGAGGTGGAACCAATAGTTTGGAGGAATGTCGAATGCTAATATGTTGACGGAGTCCACAATGAAAACTCGTTTCGTCGCCGGCTGAAGAGCAAGTGATGGGAGAGGTTTGGATCTTGATAACCTCTGTTGAACGAGAATTGTGAAATCTTTGCCCAGGTCAAGTCACAATTTAATTGTAATGACAGTTGGTGCAGTTGCAAACGAGAAGGAATTGCATGTTCATAAAGCGTGTGAGCGCATAGAAACATGACCCAATGCAATGAATCACAAAGGGGTACAACTTTATCGGCTAGTTACGTCGGTAGACGACCAGAAAATTCTTTTTGGGAAATGGCTTCCTGGCAAAAGATGTTGATGGCCATGTTAATGTTATTGTTATATACTGAAAGCTTGGTTTTGGATGAGAATCATGTTTGATTAAACAAATTCTATGTTATGTTGTTTTGTACTTAGATAAAATGGGTCATCATCGGGTGAACAGAAGATCATTCTATCAGTTACTTGCGAAACAAGAATTATGGTTCACAACCTAGATGGAAATGAACACCCCATCCGAACGGTTGTAGTGTCAACGATACAGTTGGTCTTGACTGATTAGTTGCACTAGTACATTTACGTATTGAATATGATCCCAGAGAGTAGAAGTTCATTTTATACTGATCGTCGTAAACGAACTAGGCCTCAGTTAATTACTGTGCTCTCTTAACCCGTAAGATATTAAATAGACATATATATGCAGTACATATTTCTTTGATTCACTTGGGTGAGGTTTAGTTCGTTGGACTAATATTCCTACTGGCATGGGTAATATTGTTGTATGTATGATGTGTTGTTAGGATATTTGCGGTCACCATGTACGTTTAGTTTGATGATGTCCCCGAAGTGAGTTTATGAAGGATTGTTATGCTAAATCCTGCAGGTAAATTAAATTCCGACATACTAATAATGTGATGAACGAGTGCTAGCTTTGGTAATAAAATATATTAATTAATTCTTGATTATCAGTAATCGAATTAATTAATGGCATTATATCTTAAACATGGGGAGGTAATTCGAGTAATCATTATTGGAGTCTCAAATGTAATTTGGGCTAGAAAAATGGAGTGCAATAATATTATGTTAGTGGACCGTAATATTATTTAAGTAATTGGAGGAGTGGGCCTGGCCCACAGTTAGTCCATTACTTAAGAAGCCCTATTCCTATTCTCCTAAAGATCCCTACTGTAGCTCTATATAAACATCATTAAGCTCATGAGAAGAGTCCTGACAGATCACAATTCACGTGTATCGTGCGCCACCCCTCTCTCTCTCTCTCTAGATCTCATTCGAGTTTTATCTTCTTCTTGTTGCTCCACCAGTACAAGTTGAAGAGGTGTAAGAGTGATACAATAGAGGATCCCGAAGGTAATCGAGACCCCGTGATCATCTACAGAAGTCGACAAACCATGACCCGAAGGCCGAGGATCGCCGATCCCAGCCCGCCGCGACCTGCTGGATATCCACACAGCCCGATCGCGAGGACACGATCTGCCATCTGTTCGATCCTGCTCATTCGTGTGCTGACGGTCACCCTCCTCATGAACCTAGCAGCCAGAGAGATGGCCAGACTAGGGAAAAGGGCACCGACTTCACCAGTGACAACCCCACTTCTAACCGGCGAATCTTCGAGAAACGAGCAACGAGGCACAAGGACTCTTCGCCGACAGACCTCAGATAGCCGGCGGGAAACCAACCGAAACACTACACCGAACACCCTTCCAGGAGAACCACTCCAGATTAACCCCGACACCAAACCGGACAAAGCAGTCAACCACCAACAAAAATTGATTGCCTCACCGTCGGACCATCCGCCTCAACAACAGGAAAGCGAGAAGATCTAGGGGAGAAAGAGGCGATGAACTCAGACCCCTCTGCTACAACGACATCGCCCAGATCTGGAGTCAGCCGACTTGCCATGCAGCTGCCAAAAACCCCCACACAACCTCGCCAAGGACGCCTCAAAGAGGAACAATGCCGCGCCGGAAAAAGAAGGGTGGGGAAGTGACTGAACAGGAGTTGCGCCGACTCCCCAGACGAGAGCAATTTCAACCGCGACGGCCGGAGGAGCCCGACGAAAGGAAGGAGGCGCTACAAGAGAAAAGGGCTTTTTTTTTTTTCTTCTGATTTAGGGATTTCGCAATGAGAGAGAATAGTGCCTTTCACGTTTGGTTCCGTATTGAGAGAGATGTTTTTGATAAAATTAGTAATAAACTATTATGCAACGATTTCAGACCATGTCCTCTCGTCGTGAAAAATTGTAATTATAAGGTAACTTTTTTTTTATGCATTTTTGTTATCTTCACAAATTATGTCATGTCTTTTGCATCCTTTCAATTAATTTTCTGGTTTTGCTCTTCGATGTATGAGAATGATTGTTTGATATTATTTAATTATATTAATAATATTAAAGATAGTAAAATTAAATTAAAATTGAAGTAGATTTTGAATATGAATTTGGATATAAATTTATAAACAAACATACCCTAATTTCCCAATAAAAAAACTGAAAAATAAAGGGTTTTGGTTTCATTTGATACATAGGAAAGGGTATTATGGTCATTAAAAATTATTATATAGTGTGTGAGGCTGTGAGCAAGCCTCAGTTCGTGGATACCTTCAGCTGCTATCCATTTTATACTGTTCATCACTCCCAACTCTCGTCTCTTGTTACAACAATCCAACTGCCATTAACTTCTCTTCTGATCTATCTGAAATTTCTCAGCAGTCCTTGTACCAAAACCTGTAAGTTCTTCCGATCTTCTCAGCTAATAATTATTTAATTTTTGTCAATTCTTGATTTTTTTTTTTTTTTTGGTTTTTTTATA